ATTTTTGTTGTTTCCTGATAAAAGGTTCCAAATATCTCCTTTTTTTGCGCACTTTTTGATATGTGTACATTAAAACAACACCCTGTAATAAAACCTCGATTTTTATAGGTACTGTAATTCGTATGTAAAAGCTAGACATCTGGCAACTCCACGTAAAAGCGGATATTCAGCAAATGCTCAAGCATCAAGTCAAAAATTGTGCAGGTCTTGCTCGATAGAAGATCCTCACTGAAGCGACAGGAGTTTTACTGCATAGAATTTCTATGACAAGATGGAGCTCTCGTACCAGGTTGATCGAACCATTTGCCAAGAGGTTGTGAGAAATCAGATGCAGTTACTCAATCCAATCTTCAATAAATAGCTTGAGCGCCTTTTTTGCATACATTAGCATCATGATCCAGATTTTCAACACTACTCCTGAGTCAGTTGCTGATAGTGAACGATTGTTTTGTAAATTTAAAATAGTAAAAAACTTTCTCCGTTTGACGATGGGCCAGGATTGCTTTACTGATATTTGATTATTTTGATTGAAGAAGAATTGGCCAAAAAATTGAGCTACAACGATGTCATAGATATTTAGGCCGCCATTTACCTTTCTTGAAGATTTTGTTGATTGACTTTTTGTTCATTAGTTTTAAAACTAATGTTTTGATTCCTATGTCAGTTTTGATTAATAAAAATCCAGAGAATTAATAGTAAAGCAGAAATGCAATGTGCTGTTTCAAAAAGAAATATTTCTACATTCACAAAATTTTAAATTTTGTAGTTTTTTGGTTTGAAATAAGAGCGCCGTTCTTTATTTTTGACCCAAGCGCTATAGGCGATCTTGAAGATCCTGGTGGTTCGGAGCTCCTTCTCCTCATAAAACTAGTCATTAATTCCTTTTATGCATTAGTATCATTAATGCCTTATGATATTAGAGTCTCCAAAAAATCTTCCATTAGGCATTACAAAAAAATAAAAATAAAATCTCCTTAAATTTGCAAATAGGCCCCCTAACTTCGCAGACTACTTCCCCCTCCACCCCTCCGCTTAAATTGGAGGGCGTGAGATAGCCTTACCACGGCTCTACAGTTCTCTCCGTGAAACTAATGGAGAATTTTAGTGTCCGTTATGAAATAAAAATAAACTGCCGGTTTTAAAAAAGGATGGAGATAAATGGTATTCTAATCAGGTGGTTAAGGCTCTCTATAATAACCACTCCATTAATTTTTTCATTTTAATTTCCTCCGTTAGCCAGCTCCCAGTTTTCGTGCTGTTTTTCTCATAGCATTTAAAATTTGCGATGCCAACAGACAATGATAGTGTTTAATTAGTAATTCGCAGCTGGAGAATAGTTGCTGCGTAATTTTAAAAATTTTGTTAAAATACGCTACAATACGAAAAACTCTAAGAGTTTGTATCTATTTAACACTTAATTTTTTTTTTGTTTTTTTTTTTATATTTATGCCACCGCACTCTTATGGATTAAACATTTTCTCATAACTTTTTTTTTCTTTAATTTTTTTCTTTAATTTTCTTTAATTTTTGCAAACGGATCAAAATATGAAAACTGAGTAATTTTATTGCAACACATTTAAAAAAATCCTGATCTTCTTTATCGTACCAAAGTGATAGTTTTATTCTCCTAATGTTTAAACTATATATTAACCCAGTGTTTAAACTAAAACTTCAAAATAAGTTATGACACTGTTTATCTTGTACTGCGTCCTTTCTGTTTAAAAAACTCTAAAAAGCTTTGTCTAAGAGCATATACAAAGTTTTATTATCCACCCAATCTATGTTTTGTTACTACAGTCTTGTAATACAGCACTGTGTACGTATTATACAGTGATTTGATACAATCACACAGTGTATGATTATGTAATTCAAAAATATAGATTGGTAAGGTAAAACTAAATTCGAATTATCAAAAATGTTTCTTTTAAGTAGCACTCGATATATTCAACTAAAACATTCATCTTTTTAAAGCATATTTTATGCAAAAAACACTTTTTAAGCACTAAAGCACTTTTTAAAAAAACATCTTTTTGTAAAATAATAATTAGAAGGGGGGGGGGGTGTAAAAATTCTTGTTGCAGTTTCAAAGAAATTGTTTAAATATATTTAAAGTGCAGGTGTCTGAATTACTACACCCTGATTTAGAGATAGAATGTAATACATACTTTTTTTTTTTATAAAATACAGTGTTATTTTGTTTTATCTCCATTTTCTGTTTAAAAGACATAATACAAGCTAGTATTTTATATATATATTGTGGCAAGATGATTCTATGTTATGGCAATTAAAGTAAGGTACTGTAAGGTACGTATCTGTCTTTTGTTTTTATTCACATATTTTTTAAGACTACATAGTATTTACAAGTTTTTACAATACATAATATATTACAACAAATACATTCAAAAAACTAGAGACATCAAAATACTTGAGATTTATTTGAGGTAAGGAAATTAAAGTAATATTACTAACTGTATTGTGAAAAAGAAACGGGATAAAAATAAGTTAGCTTAAATTTTGTAGTCAGGGGGAAACTCGTAGAAATCTGTGTAAGTCTTGTCATCGAGAACCCTTATTATTAATTTCATGAAATACTATACTATTGTTATAAATACTAACCGTTCACCAATCTTTTTTTGGACAAATTATCTTCTCTTGGAATCAAAGATTTGAAACTTTGACTCGTCGATCCAAAGAACACGTTTCCACCGATTGATCGTCCGGTTTTCGTGTAGTTTTGCCCATTCTAGTCTTTTTTTTTACTTTGGAACCGATGTAATAATTTTCTTGCAGCTATTCTGCCACCAAGTCCTGCTTCCATCAATCGCCTCTTCACCGTTGTTACTGATACCGGAGCTCCTCGAGAACTATTCATTGAATGGGTTATTTCCGGAGCAGTTAATAATATATTTCTTTTACTAGTGACTATAATTCTTCGGCAGCAGACGTAATTCGATGGCCTAACAATTGTTTTCGATTAACCACACTTCCAGTTTCTTTTTTCTTTTTTATAATATTCCAAACTGTTGAAGTTTTGATTTTTTTTTTGCTATTTGACACAGAGTATTTTTCTTGCCAAAATTTGAATAGATCAAATTTTGGCAAGAAAAATATTACAGATCGTTTTTCAATAGACAATTCTGGTTTTATTGCAATGTACATTTCAAAATGTTAACAATTTATAAAAATTATTAAACTATTAGCGACAGATCAGCTATTAAAATTTACTTGAGCAAAAGAATAGCATAACTAAATCTTTTTAAACATAAAATGCTGGAATAGTTAAATATTTGCGTTGCTTACTTTATATAAACGGCCGCACACACACACATTGGAGCAAAAAGGCCTCAAAAATTTTGCCCCCCGGCTCTAAATGTAAGAGCAGCAAATTAATAAAATATTTTGTGTACTATTCTCAATAAAAATTATACTTATCGATAAATTTTAAGTTTTATAGTATTTCACAGTATCATTCTCTTAGCGTTCAAAAATTATGATCATATATAATTTTTAACCTTAAATTTGGTCATTTTTTATCGTTATTATTATTTTTACCAGGCAAAAGGAATGTTAATCCTCAAAACATAAGATATTATAAAGAAATTGATTAACTAATGTGATCAGTAGCGATAGTTGAGTTTTATTTTTGTGACAATTTTTACATGATACTACTTCCCTGTGTGCTGAACAATTTAACAAATATTTATGACACTTAAGCGCACAAATTCTCAAAAAAAAAAGGGAATGTTTTCAAAATCATTTTTGACTAAACCATTGAACTAAACTAAAAAGTCTTGAGCAAAAAAATGATTTATGTCAACCACTATATGTTTTTTTCGACCAGTATAAACATGGCGTCTCATTTTATAAAAATAGAAAAACGGAATATGTTAAAAGGAAGCTATATAACAAAGGATTTTTTCCCACGTAAACTAACAAAAGCAATAAGAATCTTAAAATATATCGTATTTCCAGCTTTATATTGATGATTTCAAACTGCTTCTAAAAATATTTAGAACAGAGTGGTGCAATTTTTGTAGCAAAAAAAAAAAAAAAAAAAAAAAAAAAGTTAGAAATTAAACATTCCTGAGACGCGAATGATATTATATTAGTTATAACAGAAAAGTAAAAAATATTTTAGAATTTATTAAGTTCTTATGGTTCCTCTCTGACCCAAAACTTAGATAAGTCCTAATACTATTAATTTTTTTTTTTAGAACTATGCCAAGACTCATAAAACGCAGAACGCTTATTTTGAAAATATTATTGATTTCCATTGAAATCTAAAAGTATTAAAAATATTTTTTGTTGTTGTTTTCTTCAAAGTTTGCAAAAAAGCAACGTTTTAAGTACATTTTCGCAATTTTTTTTTCAAATTAATATTTTTAAAAATAGCATTTTTTTTTTCTTACGCCTTTACGGTCACTTCTCACAGAAGAACGGTCACTTCTCACAGAGCACCGTGGAAGAGTATTTAACTAGGAAGCGCACCCCCCTCCTTCCTCGCATGAATTACTAGTTAAGTTTTAAGGTGAAGTTTTTTTTTAATTTTATTCTTTTGAGTACCGAGTTGAGTTAAGAAAAAGAAAAGAAATATATATATATATATATATATATATATATATATATATATATATATATATATATATATATATATATATATATATATATATATATAAACAAGATGATTTTTTTACTATAAGATAAAGTAACACAGGCAAACCTGATTTCAAAAATTTTTCAAATCGCTTCACCTCAATGAACCAGCTACCAAAGTGTCAATCAACAACTCAAGAATGAAGTAATTTTATAAAATTAATTTTATAAAATTCTTGAGATAAATGGATTAAAAGATCTTAAATTTAATGTTTGTTTTGATTTAATGTGCTTCAATTGATCCCGAGGGATATTACTTATTGCTTTCACTAAAGGTCAACATCTTTTTAGTCCATTTATAGTTCGTTATTAAAATAAATAAAAAAATCATAAATAACTACAGATAAAAATATATCCGACACTATTCTCCCCAAATTATAAATTTTTATTTTACATTAAATAAACATTTGAAATATAATAGATAAATATTTTTTAATAACTTTAATTTATAAGAAACATAGAAATATAGAAATATTTATACACAAAATAAAGTAAAAATAAATAGAAAACTCCTGTAGATCTAATACATTACAGATAAATTATCATCAATTGCAAAAAAGAAGACATTTTTTGAAGTGTTGTACTATTCGATTCATATATGCGTAGCACTATACAGTATGAAAAACCAATAAATCATTGAAAATCAGAAATTATTAGTTAGAGACAATAATTTTATCGATATTAGGACAGTTTTACTGGTACTATTCATTTAACACCCAATTCCAGAATGCACTTGATGCAACCACACCGTATAACTCTTAAAATACAAAAATTCTCAAATCATTGTCAAACATTAGCTTTAATATTTTCGCTTCGGCGAAAACATCCATTTGAATGATTTTGCGTAAGCAAACATTAGCTTGAACGCATTAATGTGCTATCTCGACAAAGTTGCACACGGAATTTGCTTCGAAAGAAATAAAACATTGTCATGAAGGTTGTCAATAGCAGATTTTTTTGAACTTAATGTACCTCCGACACCAGTGAGCAAATCTTCAACAATCTAAAATAAAATACCGTCATAAATTTATATTTGAATTATCAGTTTACTAGCATGGATTTTATGTCACCAACGCTGACAGTATTTATTTTTATCATAAAAATCGTCATATAAGTGTGAAAGGTAGCTAAAGACTAAAATGAGAAAAAAGAGAAAAGCTTACGAGACTCTATTAAAAAAAAAACTGCATTTACTACTACTCTAAATAAAAAAAATTAAAATGGGACAAAACGCACATACACGGTGTTTGACATCGAGAATTGAAGTGCACGTTTTCAAAATTTATGCATGTTGATATATAATAAAAAACACTCAGCAGGGTAGTATTTGTATATATATATATATATATATATATATATATATATATATATATATATATATATATATATATATATATATATTTATATATATAAAAGACATTTTTATATATATAAATATATATATATATATTTGAAAATGTCTTTTATATATATATATATATATAAAAGACATTTTCAACGATGAGACATTCAAAGTGGTAAAAGAAAAAACATTAAAAAAGCCAGTTGAAACATGAAAAAATTATTCCAAAAGTGTCTCGATAAAAATACTCATCAAGATTTTAACTGCATTAAAATCTTGATGAGTATTTAAAAAAATTATTCCAAAAGTGTCTCGATAAAAATACTCATCAAGATTTTAAATCCGGCTACTGTCCTGAAGAAGACAGTAGCCAGATTTGTCTCTTAGGTAAAAACTTTATGGGTGAGAAAAAGAGTTCTGTTGACCAGCCTTGCACCCATTTATTAGGTTGACCTATATGTAAACCTGTACTACATTGTGTCCTGCCTGGGATAATAAATAATTAAATTTCTTGACTCTCCTAATTGACTTTTTATTGTGATGATCTTTTTCCTTGTAAATGGCAATTGGTTTCTCCAAGAGCTTAAACGCAGAAAAGTTATCAATATAGCCGGCCTATTATAGTAGAATTTAAGGAGCTTGCCAAAAAAAATAGCTCTTATGAACTCTTGAAAACTTGCTACACATGAAACCTTCAAGAAATACTCAGTCAGTCCTGACTTGTCACCAGCTGAAAGAGAGCTTGAGTATCAACTACGCAAAGACCGCAACACTCATAATGATAAACTTCAAATTAATAACCCTGATGCGCCCTTTCACTGGGGCATCTGCAATGTAACAATTGTCAAGATCCGTGGTGCCATCAATTGTTGCTCCTCATCAACCAATTAGCTCAGTAGCCAACACCAATCGCTTACCAACCATCTGCACCACTAACATACGTTCATTCTGTAACAAAATTGAGATCTTCAATTAGTTTCTCAAAGATACCAACATTGATGTTGTCTACCTTGCTGAAACGTGACTAAGCTCTGCTGATTAGCAAGTTATTCGCTCTCAAATCAATAGTAGTTACACTTACATTAGCACTGAAGCTCAGGATCGCATAGGTGGTGGCACTATTATATTTATAAACAAAAAATATTCAGATAGAATAGAACAGATAAAACCGTCAACCAACTTCCTGTCTAATTCAGTATATTAACAAGAAGTCGAACTAAATATTGCTCAAGTGTGCTCAAAATACCTGCTGCAAGGGTACTCCTCCTGTCTAATAATATGCGCATATATCCCGGTTTGGTCTAAAAATGCACAACGTGCATTTTTAGACCAAACCGGGATATATGCGCATAAAAACCATTTTTAGACCGTGAGCCATCATATCAAATTGCACAGCTAATCGAACCAGCAATAACTGGCTGCACAATCTGAAACAAACCACTTATAATTCTTGCAGGAAATCTAAATGGTTACCCTACTGACTTTTATTGCCGTTCTCACCAGCTCATTCACCTTAATTCACAACCTACCCGCAAATCAGCAATTCTGGACATCATCTTAAGTAATGCTACCTATCCAATACCCTTCCCAGCTTTAGAAATTCAGACCACTTTGTTGTAGTTAGTCAGCCCCCACTCAATCTCTACAAAACCGCTCCACCGGCTCCCCAAAAGGTTACATATTGGTCAGGTAGAGTTTTTTTTTTTTTTAACATCTTTGCTTCCAACAAGGCTGCAAGCAACCACTAATTAGTGTTGGAAGTTACTGGAAGAAAAAAAATTAAGATTGTAAAGCAAGATAACGATTGTCAGACAACTTAAAAGATTGCAAATTATATGAATCAGGAAAGCAAGATGAACGAAGCGAATTCCAAAGAACTGATGTTTGAGGAAAAAAACTAGACGAATAAGAGTTTTTAGAGCACTTAGGAACAGTAATAGAAAAAGGATGAGACTTAATTGAATGACCAGTAACACGAGAATGAATTTTAGTAGATGGCACAAGAGACGCTAGCTCTTTAGAGCAGTGCCCATTATAGTATTTGTAGAAAAGAGAAAGAGAAACATTACGGCGATGTGACAAACGTTGAAGGTTGGCTACATTAGGGCGGTGTGACAAAGGTTGAAGAGTTGGCTGCATTACGGCGGTATGACAAAGGTTGAAGAGTTGCTGATACTGTTGCATTAATACGATGTACCGATCTTGAAACTCTAGTTGATTCACCATATGAAATGCAAGCCGCCTGCAGCAACTTTTATTATTCTGTACTCTATGCTCAAGACACCTGCCAACCATCAGCAAACATAACGTACATACAAATATATATATATTTGTATTTATATATACATATATATATATATATATATATATATATATATATATATATATATATATATATATATATATATACAAATATATATATATATATATATATATATATATATTTGTGTGTGTGTGTATATATATATATATATATATATATATATATATATATATATATATATATATATATATGTGTGCTTTATATATGTGCTTTATATATGTTTATTTATATATATATATATTTGTGTATATTTATATATACATATTTATGTTTCTACGTTACTTGTCAAACAAGAAATCTTTAAACTATTTATCTATTTAGTAATGTATAATTAACGACCAGTTTTTTGAGGAGAGAAAAAAGCAGTTTTCAGCTTCGAGAAAACTGAACAAAAAACTGGTTAATTGGTTGCAGTTTCTACCGTTTGCCAGACCCTAAAAACATTATTAACAAAGCAAGAATCAAAAAATTAACAAAGAAAGAGAAGAAAAATCTTACTTTTGTTGCTGACTCAAAAGTGACAGATGTGAGAGTCTTAGCTGCATGTTTGGCTTGAGCAGCGTACCTTTTGCTTGCAGCAGTTGTTGCTATTTTCATATTTTCCAAGAACTTTTGTATATCCATCTGTTTATCTGTATTGATGACATCAGAAAATGACTTTCGCAACATGCGAAGTGTTTCTCTGTCTTGAGTTGCAATCTGCTGTTCAACATTGTGAATCCATTTTGAAGTTCCTAGACAAGAACTTTACTTTACAAAAAATAAACAAAAATTAATAAAATTACTAAACACTTCTGAATCTTTTAAACTACAAAAAACACTGAAACATTGAAACATTGAAACACTGAAACATTAAAACACTGAAACATTGAAAAAATACTGAAACATTTGCAACACAACAATATAAAAAAATTTTTAATGTACCGTTTCTGAGCTTGTATACAAAAAACAATGCATCTGCAGTTTTTTCATCACCAACTTTATTTTGTTTACCTGAGAATAAAAAATAGCTAGATTTGTACATGTTTAGCAGGAATAATATATAAGACATATTAGACATAACAGCGAAAAAAGAGACATGATGTTAAGGCAGAGGACAAGATGATAATGAGGTAAGAGGTGACAAGAGAAAAACAGAATGAGAGGTGGGGTGGAGGAATAAAAGTGGAAGAAAAAAAATCAAGAAAAACCTTGAAAAAATCAAGAAAAATCCTGATAAGTTTACTACTCTAAATCACGTAAATAATATAAACCTGTGTTGCACACATGCTGCACACAACCACATGCAATATAATATTAACTGCATGCAATATAACCATAATCACATGCAACATAACCAAGTTATTAAACAACCTACAGTTGTGAATGATATTCCTTTCTATTTGATTTATGTTGGCAATATAACTTTTCACCTCAGCAGCAAAATGATCCTTCAAGTTTTTCAACTTCTCCAGCAAAGAGTTGACTATTTGAGAAACTGTAGCATAATTTGAGACCAATCCTCTTGTCTTGGAACATTTATCTGGATCATTAGGATCTTCAGGAGTGTCTGGGTAAATATATATATCTAAAATGAGTTAAATGTAATTATAATTATAAATGCAGTTATGGTGTGTTGGTAGAACTTGCTTTATAAACAAGAAGTTCTAAGTTCAATTCCTACTATGCCCCTGGTAGTACTGCCCCCATCTAGTTCTTCAAGGCAAACAAGTTGAATGCAGAAGTTGAGAAGAAAGAGTAGTAACAAATAAAAAAAAAAAAAAAATTAAATTAATAGCTTTCCTAACTGTGGTGGCCCCTGTGACCTTGGAGAGGTAATTAAAGAAAAAGAAAAAATAATCATAACAAGTATTTTTAAAATTTTCATAACAAAAACCTGATCCTAATATATTGTCTTTTGTTTCCAATTTTTCTTCACTTTTAAATGGTGTAAATGGAGAATCTTCTTGTGAAAATGACCATGGGGAGTCATATTCAAATGCATCCAAAGTCAAGTCATCACGAATAGTTAATAATGATGTTTTTGAATATAGCTGTTTGCGTATATATTCAGGGTCACGTGTAATTTCTGATAAAAAGACAGCCTAAAAAAAAATACTTTGATTTTCAAATATAAAACAAGGGTTATCAAAATTAGTTCAAAATTGTAAACAGTGACACAAGTTCTTCACCAGTCAGTTCAGCACTGGAAGTTATTATCGAAGCAAGTAGTTGACAAGTCAAACATCAAAAATTTTTAAAGCACAGTACAACAATTACAAGGTACAACTAATTTACTAGAAAATGGTAAAGTTAAAACATTTTTTTTTCCTTAACAAAATTTTTAAATAAAACTTCAAAATTTTTGATTTATTGTAAAGTTAAAACAACGCTAAACTTTTCTAATTATTATTTGTAATTTTAGATTTGTAAAAATCTGAGATGAGTAGTAATAAACGAGTCTTACATTTTTGCTTGGTGTATCATCCCCTGGGTTATCTTCCTCAGGAGTTTCGATCATTGCTTCTAAATTCTGTTCTTGTATTTCAGATTCTTTTGCAAATGCTTTAAGATCTTCCTTTTTTATAATCACATCTTCAAAGTTTAACAACGCATCATTAATATCACCTTGAAATATTAATAAAAATTTGCAACATATTTTATATATTTTATTATACATTTTTTTAAATTATATATACAAAATGTGTGTGCTTGACAATTCTATCCAATCCCCTAAAAAAAAAAACAATCATAACTCTATTTATTTTCAAATTAAGACTAGATTAAAACATAAGGTATAAACAAACATACTTTGTTAATTAACAAGTTCATTTTAAAATTCTTACACACCTTAGCTTATGGACTGACATGAAGACTTATGGGGTCATTCACCTGCTAAAAGATATGCCCTGCTTAGAAATTATTTAACTTTAGTTTAAATTTAACTCTTAGCTAATTGTTTGATTTTAATGTTAACACTAAAGAAAAAACAAGGTTTCAAAAACCAAAGACCCAAGGACATATTGATTATTAGCTTAAATTTAAACCAAAATCTAGACAATCATTAAAAATCCCTGCCTATATGTACCTACCTATGTGTTTTTTGATTAACAATAATTTAACTTTTTAAAAAGATTACTTTGATAAAGAAAACAAAGTATATTAAAAAATATAATATAAGTATATAGACATAATTTAATGTTAGCCTAATATAACAACACTTGAAAAAACTATATATATATATATATATGTATATATATATATATATATATATATATATATATATATATATATATATATATATATATATATATATATATATATATATATATATATATATATATATATATATATATATATATATGTACATATACACACACAAATAAGGGTTGTCCAATAATTAACAAGACAAATTATTCTTATTCAAAAATGATTTATTCAATCAGTACAAATATTTTGTTACTTTTCAACATAGTCCCCAGCAACACTTATACACTTGTTCCATCTTTTTGCTAACTTGTAAATGCTTTTGGCATTAAATTCTTTGGGTTGATCTTGAAGCTACTTTTACACCTGATTTATGACCTCTTCATTGCATTGAAAATGTTTCCCTCGTAGACTCTCATTCAAAGGTCCAAACAGAGTCTCCCACTAAAGTTTTTGATTTTTTTCTTTTTTCAGGTACGCTGTATGTGGACGGGCATTGTCATAAAGTAATATCACGCCTTCAGTCAAAAGCCCACAGAGTTTCTTTCAAATAGCAGGCCTTACTTTGTTTTCTAGCATGTCACTATAGCGCGGGCTGTTGATTGTTCTTTGGCCTTCTAGAAAGCTTCCACTCAAGGCTCTGTCGCTTTGACATCACATGTTACAATTCTTTTAAAAACACATTCTCCTTCAGCCGAATATTAATGATTCAACTGTTATCTGATTTGAAGTGGGGTTTCTTTGTGAGTGCTAGTGAGTTGTCTGGGTATCCATCTTGCACAAATTTTAACGAACTGCAGCTTGTTGTGAACAATGTTAAGGACAGTTCCAATACTCATGTTTACTTTTTAACTAATCAGTTCAACAGTGGTGCGCCTATTGTCCCGAACTAATGCATCAATCTGAGATTCGAGTCCCAAATTCAACAGGTTGTCCACTGCGTTGCTTGTCAGAAACTTTTGTACAGTCTCTTTGAAACTGTTACCAATTTGTAAAAGTTTGAACAATTCAAACAATTGTCTCTGTGCACTTTTAACATTTTTTCATGAATTTTACCACCTTTCTCACCTTCTGCAACTAAAAATCTGACCATGGAAATTGTTTTGCCATGGTTTAATTCTAAGCAGATTTGTCATTGTTAACTGAGCAAACTTGAGGTTATATTTACGAAATATGATTAAACAGATTCAGATACACTTTCAGGACGTTTCATATGGATCAGTTCAACCGTTTTTGAGTAAAAGTAAGTTGTCTCGTTAATTATTGAACGACCATTGTACATATATTACCTATAATTATTAGTCAAGATCAGACAAAATTTAGAGCGACATATAAATGCATTAATAAAAGATTCAAAATAAGAGAAAGGTATGGATTTGGATTGTTTTATTTCAGCCATTTATGAAAGTAGTTCCAGCCTTCCTGATAGTTGCGCGTTTCAAAACAGGCCATAGAAAGTAAATTGAGATTTTATTTACTAGTTTCCTTTCTTTGTGACTACAAATCTCAACAAACTTCTTTAACTTTAATTAAGTTGTTTGTTTTTGCAATGATTTGTTTTACATTTTATAAAACTAATTGTAAAACAAGTATAATGATAAAATAATTATGTAATAATCAATACATAAGTTTAATTAAGAGATAGAGCTTACAGATTAATATTGCTTTCTACCCTAGCATTCTATGACAGATGTATTTATACGATTTCTAATCAGGATAAACTTTTCTATCATTATCAGAAATACAACTAAAAAAGAGGGAGGTGGGAGATGTAAGTTAGCCCTATTTAATGTTACTTATACAAATTTATGCAAATTATATACAAATTTTTTCTTCAGAATCATTAATTGAAAGAATGTCCAGGTAAAAAACTAGTGCAGTGTTTTGTATACCTTTGTATCAAATACTACAGGTTGAGTATTTTATAAAAATAAACAAAAAAAAAAAGGATTTTATGTACATAAAGAAAAAAAAGCATTAACACAACTTATTTAATATTAAAAAGCATTTTACAAAATGTTATTGCATAAATATGCAACAATTATGAAAAGCAACAAAAAAAAAAATTTTTTAATTGGTATTTACAATAAAAATCCCTATTTAAAGAATATTATAAAAATTTTATCTTAACTTTTAATATTTTTAAACCTGATAAGTTGATATGAAAAGTATTATGAATTCATTTAAAATAAAGTTTTGTTTGTGATTGCATTTCATGTAATCAAACAAGTAAGAAAGCATGACAAAAATGAAGTGTTAATGTATGAATAATAATATTTTTTACAAGCTTTTGATTTTCATTTTTTTAATTTATCTTTTTAGAAAGAAAATTCTTTTTAAAAAAGTCCTAATTTATACAAACTCTTTTTTCAAAACTATTTTCAAAACAAAAAGATTTTTTAATATGCAATACGTTGCTTTTTTTAATTTATTAGTTTATGTACATAAAATATGATTTAATATACAACTTTTTTTTTTGACACACAACTACAAGTACACAATTTTTTTTTTCAAAAACTGTATATAACAGAAGCTGTGATTTCTTTAATGTTGCCTATATGATATATATTATCATAACTTGGTTTCTTCTTGTTCCCAAGTTCCAATTACCATAATTTTTTGTAACCTATCCTAATTTGATACTAGTAATAAAATAGAAATGTTTGGAGATCACACCATGCCTGAAAAATAATTATATCGAACCCATAAAAAGTGTGGCTACAGCTCTGATATATATATATATTAAAAAATATATAAAATATTTTATACACTTATTTTAAATATACACTTATTTTGCATTTTTATTATTACTTTGATAATAGCTCCTCTTGTTTTAAAATCTCAATTAATTTTAGTTAAAATAACTCTTCTTGTATGCCCAATAAACAGAGAGGAGTGTTAATAAGCAAAAGGTTCAAAACTTTTCAAAATCTGGAATTTCTAAAAACAACTTGAATTTTCTAAAAACAACTTGAAGTTTGTCATGCATTTGTCATCTATGTAAAAGATTCTTATGTTATAACTGTGTTAATATAATCAAGTCAACACATTTTACACTGTAAAGAGGCAATTTTCTTTTAGTAAGTTTTTAAGTTTCAGTAAGTTTATCTTTTCATAAAATAAGAAGATTTAAGTTTCAAACTATTTTTTTTTTAACACTAGCAGTGTGAAGATTCTAATAAGCTCTGCATCAGATAAAGCCATAAATCTAGTAAACCCCTCCCTTCTGCTTTATATTGGACGATATGATGTCAAATTATCAACGTTGAATAATATAATTGTTAAAATAATGATAGTCTAAGAGCTGGCTACATAAAAAAACAAGGTATAAGGTACATGAAATATGAATATCCAGAGAGATGCCATTAGCGCTCTTGAACACTGAGTAGCCAGTCTGCCAGCGCAATTAGAAAGACTAAGGTGGGGGCGGACAATCAAAGATGACAAATTAAAAATAGAAAAAAATGATAATGCTCATGGATAAAAATTATTGATAAGTAAAATATTTGTTGCTACGAAATTATTGGCAGACGATTCCGTGGAAGAGAAATGGCTGGCAGATGTCAACAAAGTGGCGTTATCTTTGATGCGAAAAAAATGATAAAACTAAACTTTCTTTAGAATTATCAGTAGACTATTGAGGAAGCTGTGTGTTAAATGGCAGATGAAAAAATGAAAGACAACATCGAGGCAGACTGTATTGAAGAGCGCGGTCTCGATAGATATATTTTTGTACGTTGCACTACTGCAGTATGTTATTCTGATATTTCTATGTAAACATTACGTGTTTCTTTTTCCCTTTAATTGTTAAAAATAAAATGATTAATTTTTTATGACATTGAATCTCAATTGTTCATAATTAAGGCGGTTCTAATAATTGTTAATGATTAATGTGCTTATTTCTTGATTACTGCGGTTATTTCTTTTATATTGATTTCTATTTTACATAATTCGAATGAAGTATTTGTAAAATGAGTTGTGAGAAATTTATTTTTATTTTTTTATTTTTATTAATACAAATTATTTAATAATACAAATAAATTTACAAATTATTTGTATTATTTCCTTATAAAAAAAATTTTTTTGTTTTTATGGTAAACATATTTTTTAGCATGTGTAGTTGAGGAATTATTAACTCATTGTCCTCACAATATAATTAAGAAAATAATACATCTTAGCAATACACTATACATAACTATATAACTCATTAATATGAGACCGCGCTTTTCAAAACAGTCTGCCTTGATGTTGTCCTTCATTTTTACATCTGCCATTCAACACACAGCTTCCTCAACAGTTTACTGATAATTCTAAAAAAAGTTTAGTCATGAGACTTATCATTTTTTTTGCATCAAAGATAACTACACTTTGTTGATGTCTGCCAGCCATTTCTCTTCCACGGAATCGTCTGTCAATAATTTTCTGCATATTGTAGCAACAAATACTTTACTTATCAATAATTTTTATCCATGAGCATTATCATTTTTTTCAATTTATAAACTGTCATTTTCTACTGTTTCCCCCCCCCCCCCGCCTTAATCTTTCTAATCGTGCTGGCAGACTGGCCATTTGGTATTCGGGAGCACTAATGGCACCTCTCTAGATATTCATATTTTAGGTACCTTATACCTTGCTTTTCTATGTAGCCAGCTCTCCGTCTATAATAATAAGTCAATTAATTTCTATCATTTACCAGAAAATACAAACAAAAATTGATTACATTAGGAATAAGTTTTTATATCATAAGTGTGGAAAGACCCACAATGACCCGTTTTACGGGTCCAGACAGCTAGTATTGTATTAATACAAAATATTATATTTTGTTTAACTAAATATGCAATACATAATATTGCAAATTTAGTTAAGCAATATCATACAGCTGATATAAGTAGCTGTAAGAACATTTATATTGTATTAACATCAACTACTTACTTTTAATGACTCCGATTCCAGGGAAAAGTTGCTCAGCAATGGCTGCAGCAATGTTTTTTTCAAAACCTGCATCTAATCTAATAAAATATAAGTAAAATAGAAATTGGCATGATAATACATTGTAAAACATTCCCATACAATCACATGTAAATATATATGTATATAAGTAATAATATGTCCATACAGTCCTTACTTTGCAAACACATCCATATTTAATCGCTTTCGCTGCCCAAGTGTAGCATCGATTGTTAATGTGAAATATGTCGTCACTGCTTTTTGCAATGACATATCAAAGCAGATATCATGAATTTCAATTATATTTGATTTTGAAAAATTTGCAATTGCTTCCATTGCTTCTTTGCCAGCACCTGTAACTTTTTGAACTTGTTGAGCAACTAATACTGTTGAATTAATCAGGTCTTTTGATTTTTCAACAAAAAGTTTAGTATTATCTAATATTTGGCTAATAATGCTCATTGAGTTGAGAAGAACCTACAAAATTGTAGAATTCCCATACTAAGAAAAATCTAATATAATTTTGAATTAAATTAAAGACTATGTTTAAAATATTTTTGTATAAAATTCAGTTTGTGTGTTTACATGTGTGTTTAAAATATTTATAAATAAAATTCAGTGTGTGTTTACATGTGTGTTTAAAATATTTTTAAATAAAATTGAGTGTATGTGTTTACATATGTGTTTAAAATATTTATGAATAAAAGTCAGTGTGTGTTTACATTATTTTTACATTTTTTTAAACAACCTCTATCTGACCATCATATCACTAATATCTAATGACTATATCACTAATTTCTGTGTGAACATCATATCATTAATGTCCATGCAATCAATCATATTACTATCCTTAGTGTGATTGATCATATCACTAAGCTTCATGCAAAAAAATCTATAAATCTCTCCTCGGTTTTATTTTACAATATTTTCATCATTTTATTTACCATAATTTTAATATTACCTCCTCAATATTTTTTTTTTTGTTTGCTTCTACTTCTTTATAAACTTGTTTTCCTTTACAATTAGCAAGACATGCAACATCATATATTTTCCGTTTACAAGGCTCCCACTCAGGACTAGAAATCCATCTACTTCGCATCTTTTTCCAGTGTTCATTTATTGATGGACCACCAATGCAAACTATACAAAATATTTTAAATAATAACATATTAAATTATATTGACTTTTATTATTTATGTTTATATTTAATTATATTTATTTATTTTTTATATTTAAATTAAATTTAAATTTAAATTATATTTAAAAATCTATTTAGTAGTTTAATAGTCCAACTATATTTAAAAAAATATTGAAGTTCAATTGTCACCTTTTTTACATTGCATTACACATGGAGTTTCTAGTAGTTCTGCAATATAATCTAATTCTAATGATCTTTTTTCTATGGCATCACGATATGCTTTTAGTTTAGAAGTCCATTTCACAAACTTTGCATGCGCTTGGTTGTAAAAAAATACTAAAAAAAAAAGTTTATAGTTTCAAAAACATACATAAATTTATAAAAATAATAATCGAAACTAAAATCAAAAAATACCATAGCAACAAAAATACCATAGCAAACCTGATAAATGATTTAAAGGTGAATGTAAAATTAGTTCCCAATTTCCCAAATTAGTTCCCAATTTCAACTGCATTTAAAAAAATTTTTAGTTTTATTATTCAGATCCATAAAAAACTTTTGGTGATTGAGAAACTTTCAGACATGAAGCAAAAACCAAATTTTTGTACACTCATGTTTATGTCAAATGAGGATGCTTTGCAAAAAAAAACATGGTAATTGATCTTAGGGAATTATAAAAGAAAGTTAAAGTTAAAAAATGATCAAACTGAGTTTAAAATACTCAAATAATATGCAATATTTATTAGTTAAACATTTCAGAACTTCTTTTTTTCTTGTTCAGAAAATCAATAAATAAAGATTTTTTTAATGATGTAATTTACAATAAACCATTCCTACCAACGTCCTTCTCATATTTATTGTTTTTTCAAAAATGCATAAATTGTGTATTGAAAATCAGAATTAAGGCTTTAGACCTATCATATTACCAATTGGCTCACAACTATCAATTAGTAAAACTTTTAAAAGATTTATTCTCCTTTAATACCTTCAGAGTTACTTTTAATAACATCAGAGTTATCTTTAATACCTTAAGAGTTATCTTTAATACCTTCAGAGTTACCTTTAATACCTTCAGATTTACTTTAAATACCTTCCGATTCTCCTTTAATACCTTCAGAGTTACTTTTAATACCTTCAGAGTTACCTTTAATACCTTCAGAGTTACCTTTAATACCTTCCAATTTTTCTTTGATACCTTCAGAGCTTTGTTTAAAAAAAAACTATTATAAAAATGTGAAGCATTTCCTTAGAAAATATGTGATGACATTATAATATGTCACCATTGTTCCAATGTATTTTTTTTAATTTATCATAGCAAGAGCTAACTAGCTTATATAAGGTTTATATAAGAGTACACCTTACTTGATATGTCCTTTAGATTTGTCAAATTTAAAGAATCTAAAGGACATATCAAGTAAGCTCAATTTAATGTACATCAACGCTTGTTCTTTGGATAACAAAATGTATGAGTTTGAAACTTGTCAGAAAATTAGACATTTTGGCTTTGATAACTGAAAAAAATATGTTGCTGTTTGAAAATTGACGAAATTAAAATTTTAATTGGGTACATTTATAGAGCATCTAATTCTGATGTAATCAAAAATTGTAAAATTAATCAAATTATTTATAAGGCTAATGAAATGGTCTTAAATGGTAAATAGGATAACATTTTGTTAGCAGGAGATTTTAACCATTCTAATATTAAATGGTTAAACATGGGCAACTTGTATAGTAAGGCATGATTATTCCGCAAGAGTTTATAAAAAATAATATTGATAGCTTTTTTCACCAGATTTGACAGACCAACATTTTATCAAAGCTCTAAAAATGAAATAAACATTCTGGACTTACTTATAACAAATGACGAAACTAAAATTTTAAATACAAACATGAAACCTCCTTTAGGCAAAACAAAGGTCACCTTATATTAATGTGGTATTACAACATTAATAAATATGTTAGAGTTTTTGATAATAGAAAATATAATTATTCAAGAAGAGATTATAACTCTTTCAACAGGTTTATTGAAGATAAAAAGTGTAGTAGCTTGCTTTTAGAATGTGAGATTACAGAGTTTAAAGTCTTCTTGAGAATACACAATGATGGTTGTTTGAAATTTATTAGGAAAAGAAAGATAGTAGGGCATGAAAAAAAAAATCAAAATGACAAAAATGCCAATGGAAAAAAATTGAGATTCTCCATGATTATAAAATTTACAAAAACTTATATCTAAAGAAATTAAGAGTGGTAATGAAGTTTGAAAAAAAAAATAGCATCCAATTCCAAAAATAATCCAAAATCATTATATTCTTATGTAAACCTCATCCAGCAGTATTGAAAAATTTGGCATCAACTATTTCAGCATCCCTTCCTATATTGTTTATCAAATCATTTATTTCCTCTACTTTGCCAAACGAATGGCTATTGGCAAATCTTGTTACATTTTTTTAAAAGAGAAACAAAATTGAGCCTAGAAACTACTGACCTGTGTCTTTAACATTGATTTTGTGAAAGTTATTAGAAACTTTGATTAAAGATAGTTTAATATTTTACTTAAATAGCATCAAACTAATTAATTTGAACCAGCATGGATTTGTTTCTTCAACTAATTTGTTGGAAACTTACGATTTTCTTACAAACTATCTAATTCTTAGGATACTGTTAAATATTATTTACTTTGATTTTGCCAAAGCATTTGATAAGATTTCCCATATTTATAAAAAGGCAAATATGTGATAGACAATCAATTAATAAAATGAATTGGCGCTTACCTGACCAATAGAAAACAAAGAGTCACATTAGGAAATTCTACATCAAATTGGATACAGGTAACTAATGAAGTACCTCAAGGCACGGTGCTGGGACCCATACTATTTGTTCTATACATTAATGATATATTGGACAATATTACATGTCACTGCAAACGAATTGCAGGCGACACAAAGATATTAGCTGCTATTTCTAATGAAACATTTAAAATTTACAACATGATTTTAATAAAATATGGCAAATGGCTAAAACATAGTCTTTGACTTTCAATGAGGAAAAATGTGATGTAATGCATTTTGATCAAAATAACCAGAATTATAGCTTTGAACAAAATAAAAATAAATCAGAAACAACTAAAAAGAAAAAAGACTTGGGTGTATTGTTCGCAAAAGACCTTTAATGGAAGAAACATGTTGCAACTGTAACTTATAAAGCAAACTGTAGAAAGTATACAAAGAAGAGTGACAAAAATTATTAAGTTAAGAAACTACAGCTATGAAGACTGGCTAAAAAGATTAGAAATTATGACTTTAGAAACATGAAGAACAAAGGGTGACCTAATCTATCAATATAAAATCCACAAGAGATTCGAAACTATCAATTGCATAAACCCTTCAAATACCAACCAACTACATTTAAGAAATCAGCACTCCATCACTAAGCAGATCATAAAATCATGTTTACCAAGATTTTTCTACGAAACAAAATTGTAAATAATTGGAATAAACTATGTTCACAAACAGTGAATCAAGAAACAATAAATAAATTTAAAAACAAGATAGACAATGATTATTTTAGAAACAATCAATTCGAAAGCTATTATAATGCAACTTAATACTGCATTCCATTTTTTTTTTTTTTTTATAAAAGCTAAAACCTTCTATTATTATATACTATTATCATCAATATATATCATATCATTTACATATCATTTTCAGTAGTTTCAGTGTTTTTATGATGCCATTTAACTTTTTTTTTAAATAAAAATTAAAAATATAATTTGTAGTATCATCATGTTTTAAACATACTATTACCCTGTTATTATCACAAGTGCAAATCCCTTTAGCATTTATCACTAATGACTTTAGTGATAAATGTCCCATTAGTGTATTATAAATTTAGTCCCATTAGTGTATTATAAATTATTATAAATAAAAGTTATGTAATTGTATATTAAATAAAATTTTTATTTATTAAGTATATATTATTAATGTATTAATATAAGTTTATAAAAATCTATAATTAGAAAGTAATGTCATAGAAATGATTATAGGAAACATAAATTAACATCAAAATTTAAAAATTATCCTAAAACTAAGTTAATTTCAAAACATTTTTGAGTACCAACATTAATACAGTAATAATTTGTTTGAAACAAAGTATTAATTAGTTTGAAACAAAGTAATAATTTGTTTGAAATAAAGTAATAAACTCACTTAAAAACTAATAACTTGTTCTGTGATAACATGTAAAATGTTTAACAATAATAATAATGTAAAAAACACCTGAGTCTGCAATTCTCTCCTCACTTTCCTTCAGTGCTTTTGCAGTTTCATCAGCTACATCAGAAATTATATTAGCAGACTCTGCATTAATATTTGCTACACTTGATAAAAAGCAAGAAGAAACCTAAATTATAAAAAATTAAAAAAATGGAAAATATAATATTGTTACTTGGGTTTCATGTTTTACCACAAGCATTAGGCAAGTAATAAAAGGTTATGAATACTTTTAGAGTGTTTCTTTTAAGAATTTCGCATTTAATTTGTGAGTTTTAGTAAAGTTTATGTCTAGCAGTTTTAGAAACAATTTAGTCATTTGCTCGATTTGATCAGACATTCTCTTTTAGATATAATTTCTTTTCATTTGATTTAGTCATTTAGTCGATTTGATCAGACATTACATCTTTTTTAGATGATACATCTCTTACAATTACATCTCTTTTAGATGTAATTTCTGAATAAATTGACTATGCCCTTTTTCTTTATTCTTCTGCCAAAACTGTTGTTATTGGTGACTTTAATGCTCATCCCCCTGAATGGCTTAGCTCTATGACCACTGATCCTGCTGGCACTGAAGTCCATAACTTCTTTCTTTCTCAATCTCTTACCCAGATAAATAACTTTGTTACTTGTTTTCTAGACAAACCTAATCACCTACCTTCATTTCTTGGTTTGTGTATTGTCTCTGAACCTAACTTGTGTTCAGTATCACCTTGTTCTCATTTAGGTGGTTCCAACCATACAATGATCTCTATAAATACTTCATCTCATATTTCTTCTTCGGGCTCACCCTATCATCACACTATTTACTACTACCCTAAAGCTGACTGAGGTTCTTTTTGTGATTTTCTTTGTAATAATCTTTGGGATGATATCTTTTCTTTCTACTCTGATAAATGCAACTCCTACATAACCTTTTGGATCCAGGCAGGTAAAGAAGTTTTTTATTCCGTCAGTTCCAAGTCAAACCTCATTCTACTCCATGGTTTTAACCTTCTTGTGCAGCTGCTATACCTAATTGTAATCATTTTTATCATCTTTTTCAAAAGAACAACTCTCTTGAGAACAAATGCCTTTTTATTATTGCAAGAAATCAATTTAAAAAGGTGCTGTCTGATGCTAAGCTCCATTGTTCCTAATTTACTAAATCTTGTATTATATCTCAGACATTTGGCTCTTGAGACTTTTGAAAAATCTTTAACAGTGTTATTAACAAAGGTATGTTGAACATCCTAGGTCGAACATTCCAGCTCTAATTCATGGATCTGATCTTATTCTTCTCCCAAGGATTAGGCAGAACTATTTGCAAAGAACTTTTCTTCTAATTTGATTCTTGAATCTTATAGCCATACTGTTCCTGCCATTCTAGTTAAACAGGTTAACCCATTGTTAGATACTCTCACTCTGGTTTCCATTGCTAAAGTTATTTCTCAATTAAACATTTATATATCTTGTGGTCCAGACACCACTCTTGCCATAGTTTTAAAAAGTGTTCTCCAGAACTCTCTTCAATTCTCTCTAAACTATTTTCAGCTTCACTGATTCTTGTTTTCCTGCTAGCTGAAAAATGCATCTGTGGTTCCAACCAACAAACTTTTTCAATCTTCTTGTTTTACAGCAGATTTGCTAACTGCTATGACTGAAAGATTCTAATGTGCATTAGATGGATGATGCAAGACAAGAGCTATTGCTATTAACATATCTAAAGCCTTTGATAAAGTTTGGCATGCTGGTCTTCTCCATAAGCTTGCTTCATATGGTGTATTTGGGAAAGGTTTTAAGATTATCAAATCATTTCTTTCTAACAACTTTATTAAAGTCATTTTCAGTAACTTTTGGGGTACCTCAAGGTTCTATCTTTGATCCTGTATTGTTTTTTTTATCTACACTAATGATCTTCCTGTCAACCTTACATCTCAAGTGGCTCTATTTGCAATTGACTCAATTTTATACTCCTGTCTTGATAAAAAGTCTTTTCTTTTTGATTGTTGAGACAGGCAGCCAATCTTAAATCTGATGTTCTTTTGTAACAGCTTGGGGCTTGCAGTGGCTTGTAAATTTTAACTCAGACAAAATTCAGTTATTTACTACCAACAACTATTGTATTGTCAACATTCCTATATTAATGAACGGCGACTCTTTCACTGAGTCCACTCATGGAAACTATTTATACAACCCATTGCAAAGTTAACATCTGCTAAGTTTGCTTCTCTTTATCATGCTCGCCATTATCTTACTCCTGATTCCATTCTCTACCTCTACAAATCTTTTATTTGCCCCATTATGAAATACTGCTGTCATATTTGGGATGATTTTTCTAATGATGCTCTTTCTCTTTTAGACATGGTTTAAAAATGAATTTGAAATGTAGTTGGACCTGCTTTATTTGGCAAGCTTGAGCTTCTCTCCCATCTTTGTAAAATTGCATTTATTTCTCACTTTCTACAAATACTATCATGTTTGCTCATCAAAGGAGCTACCATCTCTAGTTGCATCAACCTCATTCTCACTTGACTTATTATAGCTAAGTCACATCTTTTTACTGTATCTTTCTATTATCAAAATGTAATACTCATGTTGTAATATTCTGACAAATTCAGGCTGTAGTATTTCTCTACACAACTAGAATACTTACAGTATTTTGTTAATATATGCTGCTTATATTATTATATAGCTAAATAGCAGCAGATATTAAATTACTATAAGAATATTATTGAAAACTTTTTTAATTGCAATTCTTAGTTTTTTATTAGGTTTTTTAAAAAATTTATAGGTATTTTTGATTTTAAGTTTTTATTATGTTTTTTAATAGCTGTTAAATATTGATGTATTAGTGGTACCATATTGTAAATTGGTGGCTTCCCTGTTGGTACTTTTGATGTGCATTGTTAAGACCACACAAGAAGCCTTTACCACATTAGATTAGTTAACAAGGATAACAAGAGTTTTTATATATAGCATCAATATTTTTCATATGATTTAAATTCTTTAAACACAGGTCGTTTAAAAAGTTTTGAAAGCGACACCTATAAACCAGTAGAGAAATCAAGATTTATACACTATTTAAATATTTTATCTTCCATTTGAACACACAAAAAACTCTGCCTATTTTTAAATTTGGTCTTTGTTTACAAGCATTTGATGTTGACATGTTAGTGTATTTTGTTACAATGTAAAAAGCCAAATACTATACAATTCTTAAAATTGATAAAATTCTTTGTTTTGGAAGGTTTATCAGCAACAGAAACTCATAAAAAATAGTGAAAGTTTAAAAAAAATCTGCTTATTTATTTTCGCCTGTGCACTGATGGGTTTTACAGTTTAAACGTAGTTGTACAAGCGATAAAGATGGAACTTGTAGAGGATGTCCAAAAAGTGCAACAGCACCAGAAATCATTGAGCAAGTCTCTGATACTGCTTTTAAAGATTCAAGTTTGATTAGGCTGATACCAAATTAACCATGTAATTGCTGATACCTAAGGCATCTCAAATGAACAAGTACTCCATATTTTTCAAAAGAATTACATATGAAAAAGCTGTTTAGAAAGTTATTGCTACATTCTTTAACAACTCAACAAAACTGAATCAAAAACTCTCAGCATAAATTGGATTATTTTAAAGAACAAAACTGATGTTTTCTTTGTGTTTTATAACTATGGATCTATCATCATGATCCTCAACTGAAACAAGATTGTTTTAAAGTGGATTGAAACTGATTCAGCAAAAAAGGGTAAGCCTTCAATTTTTTGGGATGCAAAAGGAGTATTGTTATCTTGAAAAAGATTCATAAGTTCTTTAAAAAAAATCTCTAAAAACTCATGAAAAAAGACCGGTTTACAGAAGGAAACAATCATTTTTCATCAAAACAATGCACGTCTTCACACAAGTTTTGACAACAGCTAAACTAAACAAATAAAAGTATAAATTGCTTGAACACCCACCATAATCACCGGATTCGACTCCCTCCCACCAACTCCAAAAATTACTTTTTGAGAAACTTGAAACTATTACCTCGTGGAAAGCGTTTTTCATGGAATGAAGCTGTTGCAGCCTTTTTTTGTTTTAAAAAATTCACCAAACTGCAAGATATAAATTTGAATATTCTGTTTTTAGATTTTAGTGTTGATGACATCTAATAAGACCTCTTTAGTGACATAATTGACCTGGACATATATATTTCCTATTTGTTGTGAAATCAAGAACCTTTTTGACTATTCATTTCTATGGTTTTACTTACCTTACTACTACTTATGGTACCACTACATTTCATCTCTATTCTCTGTTTTATTTATCTTCAGTACTTTCCCAAGACTGTTCTACTGTTATATTGTTTCTGATAAAACTGAAAAAAATCTACTCGTTAACCATCTATTTGTTGTTGTTTTTGGTATTATCAACATTTCTTATGCTAAATGGCAATGAGCTTGCTGGTACAAAGTACAGGTACAAAGACTCAAAACTTTTGACTTTTTAAGTCTTTTCCATTTTTAGACAGTTTGTGCTCAAATTTTTGAAATTTTTTTTCAGATATTTTTTTTTTCTATTGAAAAGTATGATTCTTATGTCTACTTAATTCATAGAGGTGAAGAGACAACTATAACAGGCATAAAATATTTTATTCCTTCAAGTTAATTCCATTAAAAGTCAAGCCTCACTTAACAGTTTCCAAGCCTCACTTATCTATGTAATTTTCTCACTCTTACTGATATTATTTCAAATCAAAATTAATTTTTTTACATTTTTTATCAGACAAATTCTCATGAAAACAAACTTCTATTTATCATAGCTAAAAATTGGCACAAAAAAAAATATCTAATGCAAAAACATTTTATTTATAGATTATACATTCTTACAACTACTTCATTTGAGAACTATTTAAAGTAATACTACTTCATTTGAAAACTATTTAAAAATATTTAAAGTAATAAGAAAATATTAAACTACTTAAAAATATTTAAAGTAATAAGAAAATATTCAACTTTATACTTTATAGAACTACTATTTTTAAAAGTGACTTTTTTTGTGGGCATAGGGAAAAAAAATAGTTTAATAAAAATAACAACAAATAATTACTTGAAAGACAGAAGCAATCAAATCGTCATTTTCTAACGGAGCAAACACAGTTACATTTCCCATGACTAAATTAAATATTTTTCCATGTAGTACAAACTTAATTCCTTTATCATCTATAAGTATGTTAACGTTTGCTCCAACTCCAAGCAATTCAACATAAGTTTTTATTTCCACCTTAAACTAAAATATTTTCAACTTTTAATAAATCATATATAATATGATATATGATATATATATATATATTATATATATATATATATATATATATATATATATATATATATATATATATATATATATATGATATATATACATATTATATATCAATATTATTTATATACATATATATCATATATATATATCATATATATATATCATATATCATATATCATATATATATATATATATATATATATATATATATATATATATATATATATATATATATATATATATATATATATATATATATATATATATATATATATATATATATATATATATATATATATATATATATATATATATATATATATATATATATGCTAAATTGTATAACATATTACAAAATTAAAATATACTTTTATTGGTGTAAAAGTGAAAGTCATGCACATATTGTAAAACAGATATGTTCTAATGCTTTAAGGCATATATAGCTCTTAAACTTTTGAAGGTTTTTTTAATTGCATAAAAGTAAACAGAAATCTTCGTATTAAAATAACCCTGCCTATCCAAAAAATTTGTAAAAAACAATCCTGAAACGTTAGGTTCTAAAACTTTTTAACCTGGAAAAAGATTTATTATAAAAGTTAAATGAAACAACAGTAACTAACAATAGTTAAATGAAACAACAGTAGCTAACAAAATTAAAATCTAGAAATCAAAGCAACAGACTTAAAAAAAAAAAGATAATCAAGAAAAAATAGAGAATACAAAACCAAAAAACACTCTAGATTTTATTTAAAAAAAAAAAATAGTATTTATCAATTAGATTCAGAACCTGTTCTTGGAGTGTGCACTCAAGGTCATCTACCATAAAAATTTATATTTTTGTTAAACAAGTATATTCAAAGATTATTCAGAAAGGATTAGTTTTTTGTGATAGACAAGGCATAAAGTTTTCAGGATGTAATTTACCATTTTTAAAATGAGTAGCAATAGCTGATCTCTATTGATACTTTGCAGCCTTGGCACAGTAGGTACGAGGTTCAATAAGTGAATTGGTTAGGAAAATAAAAAATTATACTTTTTAATTAAGTTATCTAATAAAATATTTCATCCTAAAAATAATCATGATTTTTATGTCTCTGCAAACTCTTAAATTCCTGAAAAATAAAAAACTAAATATAGATGATTTTTTTAGATTGGTGTCATGAGTTGATTTTCCTACATAAAATATTTGTTTTAAAGTTTAGATGAAGGAAAGTACAAAAAAATGTTTTACTTACTAAACTTTTAAGTTCTGAGTTTTGAAAGATAAAATAATATAATGCAGAAATTAACACACATACATACTTCTTTTTATGTTTGTGAATTTTAGTATTTATAGCAACAATTAAAGTTTCAGGTTACAGTTTAAAGTTTCCGTTTACAGTAGCCTAATGTTACAACAATTCAAATTATAAAAACTGAGGCTGTTAAGATTATTTAAACTGTACAATTAACAATAAATAACTGACATTAACAATTAACAACAATTATAACAACAATAAATAACTGACATTAACAATTAACAACAATTATAACAACAATAAATAACTGACATTAACAATTAACAACAATTATAACAACAATAAATAACTGACATTAACAATTAACAACAACTATAACAACAATAATAATTAACAACAATAATAAATAACTGACATCTAAAGAATATTACTAAAATTTAATTGTAAAGAAAATCACATGATTTAAACCTCTTATTATATCTTTTAATCGTCTTATATCTTGGTCTAAGATATAAGATATGGTCTAAAAAGCTCGTCGACTGCAGCAATACTCAGTTCACTATATCAAAAAACAAGCTGTTTAAAAAAAAAAAAAATTTCAACAAAAAAAAAACATAAGAAAAAATACAATTTACTTAAGATATATCTCTTAACTTAGGCATTATGACTTCATAAGCACAATGAAATTTTTAACTATATACTATATATTACATATTTATTTATATAATTTATTACAAAATATCTGAAAGTAATTTAGATAAGACTAAATCAAGAATATGAGTTTATTAAAAAATGCTTATTTATCTGAAAAAAGAAAATTATAATATAGTTTTTAGATTATGCTAAAAAGATTTTTGGTACAAAAAAATAATTTTATTGACGACTACTGTATAATAAAAAGATTTGAACTATTTTAATAAAGAGGAGAACACCATTATTATTCGGTGTTGAACTTGTTTGAACTTTTAAGAGCTAAGAGACTACAATAATAAGACTAACAAACCTTTAACAAATTTAACATTAACAATTTAACAAACCTTTAACATTAACAAATGAGATTATAAACTAATAGAATGTGAATGCTATATGTGTTGTTTGTTATAAATTTGAATAACTTATTTTTTAACTTTTTCCACTTTTAAATACACTTTACATTTTGTCTAAAAAATATTTGACTATCAATAACTAGCTGTTAGTCTAATTAAACTAGCCAAACTGTTGTCTTTATTGTAACGAATGTTGTTTGCTAGTAGCTAGATGATTTTCCACCAGGTAGTTTTACAAACTATAAGCATGCCTAATATTTATATATAGAACAATTTAATTACAAGAAAAAATTTTAAAATTATGTTAAAGTTGCCACTTGAAAATATAAGGATATGACATAATTATTCATATATGATTTATATATCTATATTATATATACTGTCAGCTATAAAAAATTTTCATTGATATTATATGTTTAACTGGCTCTAATACTAATTATGGGAAAAAACAGCTCTTAACTGTTTTTTGTGTTTAACGTTTATTTAATCAAGTATAAATTATGTAAAAACCATTAAAATAATTGATAAAAACTAATTGAAATTCAGTGTGTGTTTTTTTTAAAAAAAAGCAAAAATAATAACTTAATAGACTTAATATTTTTGTTTTTATTCAAATCTTTATTATTTTATTTGTTTTGTTTTATTTAATTGTTTTTTCATTTTTGTTTTATCAACTTATTTATTTAGGTATTAGTGCAGTTCAGTTGTACATACATAGACTGACTTAAATATGAAAAACATGCAGGGAGTGTATTTACATCGACTGACTTAAACAGGGAGAACATCCATATTGGTACTATTTTATATTCACTTATCATTTAATTATTTAATTAGGAAATCATAAAACACCTCTATAACATAATAACAACTTTGTATTATGTGTCAAGTGCTTATGTACTTTGTATTATGTGTCAAGTGCTTAGGTACTTTGTATTACGTGTCAAGTGGCATATATAAACTCTTAAATGAGAGAATAAAAATTTGTTTATAGTTCAAATAGAAGTTAATTTTTAATATGAATGCTTTCATAAAAATAATTTGCGAAGTTATTATTACTTTTTAAGTTCAAATTTAAATAAAAAAAACTTGTCAAGCTAGCTGTTGTTAGCTAGATAGAGCATACTTTTAAGTATACATAAATAAAAAACTTGTCAGTCTAGCTGTTGTTAGACTATACTTTTAAGCAAAAATAGAATTTTGTATATGACATTCTTAATAATAGTATTAATATTATAAATAACTATTATTAATATAATATAAATAACATGATAATAAATAATTATTACCTCCTCATTATTTAATGTAATTACCAACTTTCCTCCATTTTCTTGGTCATCTTGATTTCTTTGCAAATAAACAAGATCTTGACCAATCAGCATTGGCGGCATGTTTGCAGTAAGAATCACATCAGCATTTGTGACATTAATAAAGCAAATTAAGTTCATTGACAATACCTTTAATTTTCCATAAAACATTAAACCTGATCCAGATGTGAGATCTATATTTAAATGATTGATATGCGTACCTAAAAGTAAAAAATAACCTGACTGATTTTAACTAAAAAAACATAACTTGATTGATTGTACCTATAAAACCAATCAGAATTCAGACTTTCAGAATTCATCTAATCAAAATTCAGACTTTGCTATAAAGTTATATATGTAACAGTAATAATTGTATATGGTGCATGACATTGTTGTTGATGTAATGTTTGCAGATTTTATACTTGAATTTAAAGGCTTTTAATCTATATTAAAAACTATTATAAAAATTTGCTTATAGATATGGATATATTTATATAATATTTAGATAATATTGGTGTATATTTAAATTAGTAGAACAATATATGTTGTTTAAATTTTAAATTTATATAGTTTTTAGAACCTATAAAGTATATATTTTAATAATCTATAATTATCACATGAAAATATTGCATAAGCAGCAAAAAAAATCATGAGTCACAATTTTTACAGTGTTTCTGTGAAATGCATATAAAGTAAATCTAACTAAATTTTCAAATATAAAGCAACACAAACTTTTGACATTTGTAGTGTATCCGTATTTTAATCCATCCGGAAATTTGATATCTTTAATAACTTTTAACATAACAACTTCTCTATGAAATGCTTTAGCAAAATCCATCATGTTTATTGTGTGAATTTGACCATAGAAATAATCATCAAAATGAATCATTGGCTGAACACTTATAATAACATCACTAGCAATCTCACTGCTAACTAAATCTCTCTGCTGATTAATTTCATTTACATGCTTTCCAAAGTGCATTGTTGCTTTCATGTCTAAAAGAAATTTTTGAATCTCTTTAATAAACGATTGTTTATGTATAAATTGAATTGTTTCACTAACAAATAGTTTGCTTGTTTTTTTTTCAAAAAAAATCATCTAAACTTTAACAAAAAATATTAATTTATATTATTTATATTATTATTATTATTATTATTATTATTATTATTTTATTATATATAATTATAATTTTAATAAAAAAATTATAAAATTTTATATTAATAAAAAAGTAAAATTTGAAATATTCTCACAGTATATAACCATAATGAAAATTTTACATTTTGATTAATATTTTACTTAAAAATTTTAATTTATTATATAAATCTATGTATATCTATTATATTGTTATATATATTTATTATACTTTTTGTATTGTATTAATCATATATTATTTAATAATTTGATTAAAGTTTTTTACTCACACAATTTATGAATCATCACTTCTGAATGTAAAGCAGCAGTCATTACAACATTAGTAAATGCAATAAAAGAAAAACCAAATGGATTCTTCCAAGTGTCAACCAAATGTAATGTTATAATTAACTCGCCAGTAGAACCCATACTAATCAAAGCTAGTAAAAATAAAATTTTGATAAAAATTTGTAAAAAATAAAAAATAAAAATTTCCAAATCTTTGAATCTTTTTAAATATAAAAGGTATGAGTTTGATAAAAATTTATGTAGAGGAAACACCCTCACACCCTCTTTATATAGGGTTACCTTCAAGATATAAATTTAATGATGAACCAGGACAATGGTGGACTGATCTTAGGGAATAAAGAGTTGATTGAGAACAATTCCCAATCAAACTCACTAATCAAATATAATAATTTACAGTGGAATTTTGAATTAAACAAAGTACTTATATAAAGTATTGCTCCTTTGTTTGCTTGTGAAACAGCTAGGTTAGAGTTAAGCACTATATTTGGCAAAGGTTGTTACAACACAAAGGGACACCTTATATTACTGGTCTTAACAATGTTCTAATAGTTCCACAAAAGCTAATTTGATTACCACAACTACCTAATATTCAATAATTTTTTGAAATTACTTCACCATAAGAGACAACAAAAAAAAATTGCTTAAAAAAGATATAAATCTTTAACTAAGTGAGGCAAAAGATGAGATAGAATGTGATACCACAAAAGACTCCAGTCTTAAAAATTCTATTGCTTTTATTTCCTGGTTTGAAATCAATAAAGTGAATTATCATTATCATCATCATTATTATCATCATCATCATCATCATCATCATCATCATCATCATCATCATCATCATCATCATCACCATCACCATCACCATCACCATCACCATCACCATCACCATCACCATCACCATCACCATCAATCATCATTATCATCATCATCATTGTCAAAAGTGGATACCTAAGTATTATTAACATATGAGGTGAAAGATACAAACTATATATCTAGATATAAGTCTTTATCTCTTTTCTACAAATACTATAATGGGCACTGGTCTAAAGAGCTAGCGTCTCTTGTGCCATCTACTAAAATTCATTCTCGTGTTACTCGTCATTCAATTAAGTCTTATCCTTTTTCTGTTACTGTTCCTAAGTGCTCCAAAATCTCTTATTCGTCTAGTTTTTTTCCTCGAACATCAGTTCTTTGGAAATCGCTTCCTTCATCTTGCTTTCCTGATTAATATAATTTGCAATCTTTTAAGTCGTCTGACAATCGTTATCTTCCTCTACAATCTTTATCTTTTCTCTTCCAGTAACTTCCAACACTAATTAGTGGTTGCTTGCAGCCTTGTTGGAAGCAAAGATGTTAAAAATATATATATATATATATCTAGATATTGGATTTTATTTTTTTTCTTGCAGTTTAATTGTTATTTAATAATTTTTTAAAAATACATTTGCTGAACTGTTTGATTAAAAACAACAATAAATGTCAGTTTAGTAAATTTATTGTAGAGTGTTTTAAATATGTTTAAGTTTCACAACTTCTTATTACAAATGGTTCCATTTGGCTACTATTCTATTTATGAAAAAATTATGTTGACAATTTGATTTTATTGGATTGTTGTTGATATATTAATTATTGTTGCCTTTTGTAATAAAATTTTCTATAAATATTGGAGCATTATACCAAAGTATTACATCTAAGTTATTAATAAATCTGTATAGTTGTACTGAATCACCTCTTGATCTTCTGTTTTCCAATGCGGAGAGAAAAGTTTATCAGTGAGTTTTCACATGATAAACCTTTCTCATGATTGAACAAGTCCAACATGAGTTGACTTTTAAACTATAAACATGAGTTGCTCTATGTTGGCCTTGTTCAATCATAATAACATGTTTCCGCATATGTAAATTCATTTATGGGACTCAATATTCAAGGTAAGGTCAAACTAATGATGCAAGTATTAATCTTTTATTTCTTTTATCTAAATATTTAAAGAAGTGTTTAATTTGGCTTAATGTCAAACTTTCATATTTTTCTCATTTTGAAAATGTTATTTTTAAAATGCTTCTGTTAACAATACCATGCGCAACCCAGTTAGTTACTAATTACAAAATCACGATAGTACTGTGTAATAATGGCTAATCACTATTTCTGCCAGTTCTTGTCCAATAGCGGATAACTGTCATTAAAAATTCTTAGAACAAAATGGAGCTTTGCTAATGTCAGCGGCAGCGCAATGCCCAGGACAAATGCAGGACTATTATACCCTTGGTATCTGGTTCATCATCACCATCATTTTCACCATTATCATAATCATCATCATCATCATCACTATTATCATTACCATCATTATTGTCACCATCATCATTATCATCATTATCATCATCATCATCACCACCATCCTCATCATCCTCATCATCCTCATCCTCATCATTATCATCATCATCATCATCATCATCATCATCACCATCATCATCATCATCATCATCATCATTATCATAATGATGACTATCATTGAGTGTTTGAAATAATTTTAGTTTTATCAAGAATAAGTAACTATATTTATTTATCTGAATTTAAAAAATCAAAAAAACCTTCAAATATCAAAGAAGGATTCTTTATCGCAATGATACCAGCAATAGTGATCTCTGATTTATCTGCAACTTTTATTAGAAATCTTGCTTGAGTAAGCACAATATTTTTTCCAATCTCAAGTCCATTTCCTCGATATGGAGCTCTCAAAAGTAGCCCACCTTTAGATATATCGCCATCAATAGAGAGTTTTGTACCAGGGATTACTTTTTCTTTTGCAAATTCACATATGCGTTCTCCATGACAACTCTCTGGTATGGGAATTAAAGATGAAAAGGTAACACCTAAAAGCAAACTTTTAAAAATCATATTCAATAATGAACTTATCAAATAATATTAAATTATATTGATTTATAACCAATTAGAAAATATTTTTTAAATGTTTAAATTTTATTTTGATTAATACTTTAATTTTAAGTTCAATTTTAAGTTTAATTTTAATTTTAAATAAACTTCAATCATATTTACTAGAGAAAAATAAATTTAAATTTATTTAAATTAAAGTTGGTGTGCACAACATTTAAATTTTGTGCGCAAACACTCAACTATGTTGCATATATAAACACTCTATGTGGAAAGTATGTTTCGTATGCATGCATTCTTTTGATAACACTAATACTTATACTTAGACTAATGCTTAAAATATATTTTTAATTAAATAAAAACTTCTATTGAAGGCAGTATATAAAATATATATGTATAAAATGTATAAAATATACAAATTAGTAATTAGTATAAAAATTAATTCAAAAAATAAAGAGTTACATCCATAATAGAACTTTTTATTTAATTATATATTAATCTCTTTAAAGATATCTTTCAAAAAATTATATATTTGTAATTTTTTAATATGAATGTAGTTTTTAAGTCTTACTGAAAATTGATTCCTCACTTTTGATCTACTTACTAATTGATCTACTTACAAAATTATTTATAAGTCTTACTAATTGATCTTACTGACAATTGTTATAATAAAAAAAAAATTTTTTGATAAAAAAATGTAAAAACATGAAAAATTAAGGGAATAAAATAATATTTAAATAAAATACTAAACAATTGTTTTTTAATTATGAACATAATTTTGTATAATAACATGTTATTATATGTAGAAAAACATCATGTTATTATATGCACAAAAATAACATGTTATTATATGTACAAAAATAACATGTTATTATATGTACAAAAATAACATGTTATTATATGTACAAAAATAACATGTTATTATATATACAAAAATAACATTTTATTATATGTACAAAAACAACATGTTATTATATGTACAAAAACAACATGTTATTATATGTACAAAAATAACATGTTATTAAAAAATACAAAAGATAATAATAAAAGTACAAGAGATTATAATAAAAATATTAGAGATAATACTAAAAAATATAGGAAATAATATTGTAAATACAAGATATTAAATGGTGAATTGCTTTAATTTCTCCATCAATCGATTGCTTCTATTTTAATAGATTGAGTCTGTTTATATGGTCAATTTTGAAATATCAACTTGTCAAAATGAAGGATTTTGAGATATAATATTTCTAAAACCTTTTATTGATTTAATATTTCTTCACTCATTTTAATCCAATAACAATGATAACCAATACTTGTTACCATTAAAATCAAACAGCAAAACATTAGCTTCTATATGAAAAATCATTTAAAAATTTTTTTAAGTAATTTTAACATAATTAACAATTAAAGGGTACTGAATTTGTTTAACTGTGTTTAACTGATAATATACTTAGGTTAGGGGTCATTAACAAAATTACGCCACCCAATAGGTGGAGGAAAAGGGGGAATTTGTTAGCTATTTTATTACGATTTTTTACAAGGGGGTAGGGTAGGGGATATTCAATTTTTTAACATAACAATTTTTTTTAAAGTTTCAAATCTAGAAAAATTATTGATTAAAAGAGCGCCTAGCCTCAATCATAATCACTCAGTTGACCTAACTGCACTTTTCCAATTTAACTTAAAATGGACTGACTTTTTAAAGTGACTTAAATTTTAGTAGATTAATGTAGACTTCGATGCGTCTAGGGCGAAAGATATAGTCAATTATACAGCTGATATATCATCAATGAAAAAATAATAATATAATTATCAAATAAAAATAATTATTTAAACAGCAATAATAGTTAATACACAATAGCATTAAACATTATAAGTAGCATTAAATATTATAACCTGCACTGTGACACTTATTGCTAAAGAAGTCATTTAAATAATGTATTTTTGATCTTTTTAGGAGGATCAAAAATTGTCAAAACTGCGTGATGTAACTTATGGATGCACTCTAGATTGTTAGCTTTTTATTTTCTTTCTTAAGAGGAAAATTTAAATTATGCTATTAACTATATTATATAATATAATTATATTAAATTACATTTTATTTCAATTAAAAATAACATCTTTACGAATTATAAATACTTTGGATTTGTTTTAGTGTTACTATTTATCTTCTTTTTATGAATATTAATAGTTTTGAACTTTTTTTATGGAGATTATTTCATACAACTATTTTTTATGGAGATTATTTCATACAGCTATTTCTTATGGAGATTATTTCATACAACTATTTTTTATGGAGATTATTTCATACAACTATTTTTTATGGAGATTATTCCATACAAATATTTTTTATGGAGATTATTTCATACAACTATTTTATGGACAGTTCAATCATCAAACAATAAAGAAAATAACATCAATATATTTTTATTTTGTTTTTTTTATAAAATTTAAAACTTTTTACAAAAATTAATAATATTTAAAAGAGAAACAATAACATTAACAACATTTTTTAGACTGAATAAAAAAAATCATTTAAAGAATGACTAAACAAAAAAGCATTTTTATAAAAGTTTGGTTGATAAGTCCTGGCACTGACACATAGAGGCACATAGATTATTGTTTCCATATTATCTTCACTTAGTACCAACCTTCAAATAAAATATATATAAATTTGACAGAAAGCATACAATTCTTTCATGAGTTAGACATGTTTGTGTTCTTTTGTTATTGTTAAAAAAAACGGAAAAAAACAAATTTTGTGTGTTAATAAACATTATTTTTTGATGGGAAAAAATACAGACAAAACAAAAACTTGGCTTGACGAATGTTATCTGAACTGTGAAGAAAAATCATTTGTTGATGGTTTGCTGATTTCATACATGTTTGTGTGAACACAAATGATGCTGAATGCAGTGGAGGGCTAAAAGAAGTTGTTATCAACAAAAACATAAAAAAAAAATCCACAAAACAATTTCAAATGACTGTAAAGTGAAGTTGAACAAGATAGCTAAGACTCTGAATATATGGAAGAGTGTGGTGGACATATCATGCATGAATATTTAGACGTGCAGAAAAGGGTGCCGCGCGAACTCACAATTGATCAAAAACAACGAGTTGATGATTCTGAGCAGTGCTCTGAAGCTGTTCAATCGTAATAAAGACAAATTTTTGGCATCAGTATGTGAGAATGGATGAATGTAATGTAACTTGACTCCATCACTACACTCTAAAGTCAAATCAATAGCCAGCTGAATGGAATACAAGCAATGAACACAATCCAAAAAAAAAAAAAACTCAAAACATTTTTTTAAAACTAAAATTTAAAAATTTAAATATTTATATTAAGATTTTATAATATATATAAATATTATATTAAGGCTTTATATTATATTACGTTAAGATTTTATATTACATATAAATATAATATTAAGATTTAACAATAACATTTTGAATATAAATACAAATAAATTATTTTTTTTATTTCCCAAACATTAATACCATAAACAGTAATATTTGATAGCTCGAGTTGAAATTTTAATGTAAGAAGCTATTACTAATGTGTATGTAAAGCTGTATCTAGAGTATTATACAAAGACTTTTGTAATAGAATATGTAATAGAATTATATGGTATTTTACCCGTTTTTTTGATAGAACATAAAAAAAAATTTAGTAAACAATACCTGCAATTTAGATTTGTACAGTTTTTGTTGAAATTTGTATGAAATAATGTAATACTACAATTATACAAAAATATAAAACAAAAACTTAATTGGAAATCGAGCAAACAATAATAGTGTGAATAAAGTGGTGTATGAACCATCTGGGCAAGGTAGACAAATTTTACAGATCTCAAGTGACAATCTTTTTATGGAAAAATGTTATGCAATCTTTTAAATTTTGTTAAAATGTATAGTTAGCAGTAAAAAATTTTTTTGGGTTTCTGGTTTCTATGGTTCCTCAGATTACGATCAACATTTCTTAACTGATTGCTGAAGTTCTTTAATGGTAACCACTAATCAAACGCAAATTGACTTTGCCGCTCCTTGACTATCTTCTAGAGTTTCTTCTTGCGATGGATTAAGAGTCTCTCTGTGACAGAAAGTCTAAGTTATTTAGGGACTAAATTTAATGACATAGTGTTCTCACTAAAACACAGTGAGCCAGAGGTGAGCAAAACCCCTCAAAACCATTTTCTATACTGGAGTAATATACTTTTATATATGCAATCTAGAGACTCCCAGCATATTATAATTTTTTCATGCTAAGATTTTATGAACTCAGTATATTAACACTTTTTAAGCGGGTACTCAAACAAGCGCAACTATATTGTGTAGCAGGTATAGTTTTTCAAAAAAAAACTATATTGAAACACACAACATGTCCCATCTAATTTTAAAAAAATTGAGACATCCCATGAACACTCTTGACGAGCCCTAAAATGACCACTCCAAACTTAAAATGGAGCCTAAAAATAAAATCTTTGGCCCCAATAGCCCTTATAAACATGTATCATATGTCTATATTTGACCCGTAAATAGTTTTGCCATTTTTAGACAATACTGGCTCACTTTGCAATGGTGACATTTATAAATCCAGATCCTAAGAATAATTGAGATTAATCTTTAGATTATTAAAGGTTGTTCAATATGGATGTAAAAAGTTTAAATCAATATTTCTTCAGTAAAATAGAATTGCATTGAACTTTTATGTGTGTTAGGTGTCACAATATCCAAAATGTATATAAAGTAGATAAAGAAAATGATGCTGATTCAAAGAAATATTACATTTACTTTAATGAGTTGAAGCAATATTTAATTTACATCAAATTTAACTACCATGGCAATTGACATATAAACAGACATTCAAATCTCTTAATTATGGCATAACTATTTACATGGCATAGTTATGGTTTTAACAATAAAAAACCGGATAGTGGGTGACTTAAAAAATCAATTAAATTTGCTATTAAAAGCC